CAACCCCCCCCCCCCCCCCAAATAAGCAGCAAAGGAAACATGATGGCGCTCGTTCATTACTTCATTCTTTATACTCCCTCCGTCCCTATATGGATTGCATGGAAGCCAAACCGAGAAAAAAACCCAAGTTTTTTCAATTCATTTTATTTAAAAGTTGGTATATAAATAAAAAAATAAAACTTGCATATTTAAAAGGTACGTCCAAAGTTCTACAAAACAAGGGGTGTCAATAATATTTTATTTTATCAACTAATCACTGAAAACACACAAATAAACCAAAGTTACGGAGATTTTGGAATAGTGCAGTGTGCAATTCAATTTGGGACAGAGGGAGTATACATTAGCTTTCGACACGAGGCAATTAAGAGAACAACGTTTATATTTATACTGCATATATATATATAATATATGTGTGTGTGTGTGTGTGTGTGTGTGTGTTACTACGGTTACATGGGGAGACGTAATGCAACTTCCATTGTCATTAGCCTTTCTTTTTTACCACTGTATTCACCTTTATAGTTGAGTCCAGAGAGATTTTTTTTAAATACGTAGCATAATTTGTCATACTTGAACCAAAAATTTCCTTACCCAGATGATGGAGTAGTGAACACTGTCCTCTTTCCAAAAACTGGTGGCTCCTAGATCGCAAGAATGATTATATTCTTCCAATTAGTGACGTATTAGGGGTATCAGGAGGCAAGAATATGCTGTTAGATTAACCCTAAAGAGATGTGACTTACTCACTTACATCATATTCTTCAAATTCACAGTCCTCGATCATGATTATGGTTGGATTCACATTTGGAGGTGGGCAGAGCAAATCTTGCGCTTCTTCCCAAGTGATCTTCAGCTCCATAGCATCTTCTGTGTGAATCAGGAGCCTCTTGTTTTTGCAGCCTATGTTCCGGATCTTCTTCTTCTCTGGAACAATCCCATTCCTTTGCAAGAAATTGTCAGTTTCATTGCCTCCATCCTTCTCATGTTTTGGCATCTATAAGCATTCCGGTTAGACAATTTCTTTATATACAATAGAAGATACACCCAAAAAAGATTCACATTTCAAAACATTTCTTTGTCCCAAAAAGAGTCATATTTCAACAAAGAAGCTACTTTTCATTGAAATTAATGTAATTTTGTAAAAATTCTTCCAAACAGGTTAAATATGTTAGATTTAGTTTAATAACAAAAAGAATTGTAAAGACATGTGTAGAATGGGTAGTTTACAAGAGTTGTAACTTACCAAAATTTAAAACATATACTTTGATGAAACAAGACTCTATTTTTGCAGGACAAATAGAGTAATAAAGAAAAGGATGACTTGTAGAAGATTACACACAGCTTGGTTGTCAGTGGCACCAGAGAGTGGAGTTTCAGTAGAACAGGTGCTATTGGAAATGGCTGGATTTTTAGAATCCTGTTTGTAATTAAAAAAACACATTAGTATGATGCCAAAGAGTGAAAAGACTGCTGTGTGGGTGTGGGTGTGGGTGTGTGTGTGAGAGAGAGAGAGAGAGAGACCAATAAAGAAGTTTGAAGCCCAACGGGTGCTACAGCATTAATAATCACTGCCTTCCGGAAACCCATAAATAGTTTCCCGCCAGGATCTATTCGACTGAAAGTAACTTTTGGAATAAGAAGATTAGGATTTAGATTTGATAAATCAAATATATAAGAATAGCAACAATACACTCTCACCAAATAGAGGAATGAAGAAATCAAATTGTTTTGTTAGGCACACTTCTCTCTGTTGTGTTTTCCAAAATCTTTGGGCATGCTTTCCTAGTGTTTGTACTCCATATGCATAACACCGTCTACTTTTACCTCTTTATGGTTAGGGTCACGGGTATAGGAGAGAAATAAATATAGGGGTTTGATCATTTGGTTAGAAGATAAATGAGGACAAGAGAAATGAGAATGGTGGCTTCCACCTCCTTATTTCATCTACTTGTGGAGATATGAGAGAAAAGAATCTCCACTTCCGTGCTAAGTTTTTGGGGTTGGCTATACTGACACTTTTCCACTGGTGGCTAAAACAGCTTCAATTGGACATTAAAAATGTATTGCATAGAAATCTTGAGGAAGAAGTCTGTAAATTGAAACGCTCCCTCTATGGTTTGAACCTCTCATTGTGCTTGGATTGGAACATTTAGTGTACTAGTTCAAAATTTTGGAGTGGCCTGGTGCTAGGTTGATTGTTGTGTTTTTCAAACATTGCAATGGTAAAAGCATACATCTTGTTGTATGTAAAGATGACACCATGATCACTGGAGATGTTGATGAAAGATATCTTGGTTATAACAACATCTATAGAAGCAGCATTTTGAGACCAAAGATATTGCCAAGCTCAAGTAATTTCCTTGGAATTGAGGTCGCAAAATCCCCACTGGATATGTTGAAAAGAGCAGGTATACTAGATTGCAAACCAATTGATGCCTATGGATCCAGATGTTAACCTCGCCGATCAGGGAATCCCCCTTCAAAATTGAGATAGATATCGGACTCTCATGAAAAAAGTGTTCTACCCAACAGTTATTCACCCCAATATTTCATTTGGAGTTAGTGTTTTGATTCAATTCTGAGTATCACCATGTGAAGAAAAGAAAAAAAAAGAGAGAGCAGGGGATACCTGTATCACCAGCTTCTAATTGCATATTCTGTATACACGGCGTAACACCCTCAAGAACATACATTCTGCTGTTGTTATTGGGCCAAAACCTGAATTGAAATGTCCATTCTTTACCTTTAACGTCTTGCATCGTAATCGGCATTCCTTCAGATTGCTCAATATAAGGAAAATACGCCTACAAAGACAAATTACATTACAGTGATAGGCCATACAATGAGCACTTCCAGACTATCCCAAAAAACACTATGGTGAAACAGAAAACTTACTTCAGCACATGCTTTTGGGATGACCAGACGACCAATCCGGCCAGCATCACTGGCACTCAGAACCTTTTCGAACAATGGCACTATAGTGGATTTCAAGCTTTAAGTAGGAGTGAAGGTAAAACATAGCCGAGTAGTAAAAAAGGAAGATGTTAATTAAATCCAAGATGACCAGATAATTTAATACAGAGCAGAGGGATACTCTCCAGATAACCTCTGCAGCTCTTGGTCTGTGATTCTAGGCCAATATCGTGGCAACATCTGATTCCTACTGCCACGCCCTTCAGTCAGTGGCCTTGTAGAACGCCTTGGGGTAGATATTCCACTTTTTGATTCAAACCCGGAATTTGAACTAGCTTTGGGTGGCTTGGCCAAGATATGGTGTGGTTTCTGCTCTAGTTGAAATGGAGAAACCCCAGAAGAAACAGGTAGTGTCGAGCTCGAAGTGCCCATGGGAGTGCTCATGAAGAAATTTAGAGATGGCTGGTTAAAACATTTGGCAGTTTCTTTTACAGTCCTATTTGATATGCAATTTTCTGGATTTTCAACAAAAGAAGATTTGGGAGATTGCTGGTTATGATTTGGGATGCACAACCTGACTTCCATGGCAGGAATGATTGACTCCTCTTGTCTTATTTTGTCATGGTTTTGAAATTGAAAAAGGTGAACAGGTTCACTTGCATCTGCACCATTTCCAAATTGCAGAAGCCTTCTCTTATCAAAAATATTTTGATCCATTTTATTTTCAAAAAGAATATGCTGTGTATCTGCACTGTTTGTCACACCCAAGATGCCACTAGGAGCATCCTCATTAGGTATCTGCACAAACAGTTATCAAATGATCACATTTTCAAAACATCACGTGTGGGTAAACCCCAGTTCTTCGTTGGCATCTGTTAAGATACTCTAAGCATTGCTTTGCATACATCCTAAGATACCTTAACTTTGCAAAAAGGTTTTGGTTACATGAAAAAAAAGGATGCACTCAACAAGAGGCATAAAATCCATTTTATAGTTCATGTCTTAATCCTTTGCTCTTGGCCTCTTGATTTCGTCCTCTTCATTATTTCCCCAGTTAGGTTTTTTAGAGAGATGAACGCTACTAGAAAAAGAAAAAAAAAGAAACTTCACACAGAGTTATCTATCTAAATAGAGGACATTGCTCAATTTCTTACCTTCCCAGAAAAAAAAAATATTCATCTACATTCTTAGCACTAGTGTTTGCATAACACTTGCAATAACGTGTCGTTACTCCCTTCGCTCTCTTTTAGTTGTGGATGCACACATATTAAGAAGTAACATATTTTTTCTGGAGTCAAGATAAACACTATGATATTACTGGGATACCTCTAACAGTGTTTCAAAATATTACTCGCATATTACATTCGTGAATGGAGAAGAGTAACTTGGAAAAATAAGCAAATAATGCTCTCTTGGAATTCTAAAGTGACTGATTTGCAAAAAAAAAATATTTTTTCTCTAAAGCAGAAATTATTATAGAATGGAGGGAGCATTTGTTAAAACATCGATTGGAGTACGTTTTGTTCTTCCGCTTTATCCTAACTACCACTACTACACAAGCCCATTGATATTTTGATCTGATGCATGTCAATAGCCAATAGTCCTCAATAATATTCAAAACCATCTTTGCAACATATTTACCTGTATTGGCATTAAAGTGTGACCTCCCAAACACCTTGTACAGCTTAAACATCCTATGCCTCCAAAGTCCATGTATTCAAACAGATATTGTGATGCAATGCACCCACAGTGAATAGGCTGTCAAGTGATGTCCAGTGAGAGGAAGAAAAAGGATAATAAAGCTGTAGAGTATTTGGTCATGGTTGTAGTCATACTTGCCTTTCTACACATTCTGCATTCCCTCCAACCAGATTCATTCAGGTGGAATGTCTCACAATAAGCTATCTTTTCAAACGCAGATCTGAATTTCATTCATAATGTAACCAAAACATTCAGAACTTAGACAGAAGTTACAGAGTAAGATAGCAGTTAAGCATTTACACAAGTGCCGTGTTCGGGACAGGGGAATCTAGAAATTTTCTTTATTTCCAACATATTTTTCTCCCACAGTATTCATTTAATTTCTGCATACCAAACAGTTCTAGCATCAATTCTTATATTCTTGTGATAAAAGAAACCTATGAAATTTAGATTTATCCAGGGAGTTGTTAAAAATTACCAATGAAATAATCCATTACAGTAGGATTAACCTATGCCCTTTAGACAAACATCCCAAAAGAACCCTTCACACAGTCAAAATCAAAACCTTCTACCTCACATTATACTTTCTAAGTAAGCAAAAATAACAAGAATTGATGCAAGAGCTAATTCAGGGATTCAAAATCCCCAGTCCTGAACTGCACTGAGATACAAACCAATTGAAATAAGGGGGGAGAGAGAGAGAGAGAGACTACCCGCAGGTGTAACAGAGAGTAGCAAATCCACCAGATTTCAAGCCCCATCCTTTTTTCCACTCAGACGACGTCGTGGTGCGGCAGTGCTCGTTCATGCAAAACTTTGACGCCATTCTCCCCCAAAAAAATCAAACCTTTGAACAGGAGAAAGACTCCATCAACGCTCCAAGAACACAAAAAGCTCCCAGATCAGTCCAAAACCCTAAACACCCAGATCAAGAATTCAAAACCCAAGCACAACATTGGCCAGATTAATGCGAATAACAGCCAGAACCAAAGATCATTACACAGTTCACCCTGTTCAACCTCTCTCGTGGCGAAATACTAAGCACGCTCCGAAGGGTCAAAGCAAGTAAACGACGGAATGGCGGCGGGTCTCTCGTAAAGCGCAAGTTGTCCGGAAGGGAAAAGGTGTGCATGCAAAGCAGAGAGCGATGGTGAAATTAGAGTTAAAGAGAGAGAGCAGCAGGAGATGCATGCACGACCCTTGAATCCGCAGCACAGGGTCGGTCCATTGAATATATTATTGCTCCACCACGCCTGTGACATTCTTTTTCTTTCTTTCTCTCCTTTTTTGAGATTTTCTTTCTTTCTTTCTTTTTCTTTCTTACTCCCTTTGAAACTCTTATTATGGACGGATACGATTTTTGTTGTACTCTTATTTGTATAATACGGAGTAAATTACTCAATTGCTAATCTTGGGAGGGACATCAAGCGGTTCTGTAGATTCATTCAATGGGGGTATGGATGGGTCAATGGGATATTGGGATGCAAGGTCAAAATTTGGAAAGTTATTGTTTTTATTGCAGGGTAAACACATAGTCAACAAGCCACTATCCTTACCACTTGAAGGTTTCATTTTCGATATCAAAATTCTTTTTTAAATGGTAGCGGGTGAGAAAAGTAATTGGTACTTAAGTTCTTAAGTTAAACTAAATAATCGATTGAATTTAATCTTTTAATATAATTCAGCTCAAGTGTCTTATGGTTCAATATAGTGACCCTTACTCCATACTAAATTTTTTCTTAGTATCGAAGCAAGTTTTGGCTCATTTCGTTTGTCAAGTTATCCGTTTAAATATTCATTCCTAATGGCCCTTAGTCGTCTGTATGGAAAATGACATGTGGAGCATATAACTCGATTATTCGTTTGGAAGTTCATACCTAGCAATTTGTGGACGTTCAAGCATTGACACTTTTTTATCCTTTCGTTTCCTAGAGAGGAGAGTTTGTTTGCAAGTGGTCAACTGTTTAGATTCAAAATGACTCGGTTATCCACTTGAGAGGAGTGTTAATGTTAAATATATTTACCATATATATTTATGTTAAGTATATTTAATGTATTTATTATTGTATCATTGTATTATTGGTAGTTACCTTTTGTATAGGTTTCCTACTCGTATTAGGAGTCCCGTCCTGTCTATATATACGGTTGTACTCCTACACTTTTAATCATTGAAAATATTCATTCTTCATGGTATCGGAGCCAAAACCCTAATTCCCAAACCCCAATTCTCTCTCGGCTCTTCTCCCTCGGCGCTGCTCTCTCTCTCTCTCGGCCTTACTGCCGCAGCAGCCCCACCCTCCTCCTCCGTCGTCTCTCTCTCTCTCTCCCCTCATGGACTCCGACAAGACGACGGACAAATCTCCCTCCACCACCTCCTCAAATTCTCCTCACTTGGCGTTCACGGCTATATCTAAC